GATTAATAGGGGGTGACCTAATCTTAAAATCAGATGGTTGGCCAAAAGTAGGGAAAAGATATTTTACTCCAAGTTCTTGTCTCATATTTTTCCAATCAGAAGTAGGGTATTCGCCACGAGACTCTTTATGATCTTCCAATCTCATCCAAAATTGGCGAGCACTATCGTTCAGGCGAGACTTAGCAATGCTAACCTGGTGGGACTTCGGAATCTCAAGTGATTCAAAATAATTTTCTAATTATCTAATACATTCCTTAAAGTAGTAAGGATCCGAGGAACCATCAAAGGTGGGCAGACGGTAAGGTGACTCTAAGTGAGGTTGTTGTGGCTTAGGCTCAGGTCTAGGTCAATAAGCAGAGTGTGGCACATTCCTAGAGTGGGAAGAGTCAACATGTTTTTCCTTCATGGTTTTAGTTATAAAACCATTAGACTAACCAGGTCATCCAACTTCTTTTGAAGTCCTATCGGATCCATTGGGAAGCGCTAAGTGATGCCTAATAAAGATTGGGTGTAAGGGACAACACTCTACAAGGAGAAAACGTCATTATGGAACGCTATATGGTGCAAGAAATTACCGGACAGCAAGCTACAAGAGGGACTTAAGTGATCTAGGCAATTAGGATGGTTGAGGGGTCGAGGACAGCACCTAAACACTTAACCAGACTTATCTAAAGGTCACTAGATGGTGCAAGAACGGTTTGGACAGCAAGCTACACTAGTGGTTTTAAGTCACTATGTGTTTAGGAAGGTTGTGAAGGCTTAGACAGCACCCAAACCAAAGGTTAGACTCACTTAAATGCTACTAAACAATGCAGAATTTTTGTGTGGACTGCAAGCCACAGTAGGGAGTTAAGTTGTCTAGTGTTTATGAAGGTTTCTAGAGTGAGAATAGCACCTAAACACTAAGTGAGACTCACCAAAAGTCCACAAAATGATGCAGCATTGTAAAGGACAGCAAACATGCGATGTATTAAATGATATAATTGCAATGTTAGAACAACTAGTTGGGCCTACCAATGACAAGTTGAAACTCTAATTGAACCCAACACATGCAAGAGCAACCATGCTCTAATACCAAGATGATGTGAAAAAATCAAGGGAATTGCAATATCTTGTTAAGAAATTTGTTTTCACAATGAAATTATAAGATTAATGTTTCACTAAGTTAGGATTTTCAGTTTTCGTAGTTATTGACTTGCTTCTAGCATGCGGTTACACGTTAGATTAACAGAGCGATCCGAAATAATGACAAGAAAATAGTAAAACAAATATGCGATTAAAGATAATCCAGCACTTAACAATTAGAGCTTTCACCTTAGAGTTTCCCTCTCGATCGTTCTTTGGAAGTAGGGTTAGCGGAGGACAAAGGTCAGCAAGCTCAGTGACGCCACTGCAAGACAGAGGATGCCGACAATTTTGATCAATGGAGAGTTGGTAGGATTTGGAGAGACGGGTGGTCGTCCTGCGATCATCCACGATACTGTAGGTTGTTGCTCTTCAATGACATCCGCCAAAATAAAGAGAATACGTTCCATGTATTCTTCTACGGTGCCTTCGGACCCAAATCCTAGATCGAAGAAATGTGATTGAATGATGTAGACTTCCTCTTGAGAATTGTAAACGAATTCGTGATCAACATCCGGATCCGCCATCCATGAGCTTGAGGGTAGGCGAGTGGTGTTCTATAGTGGAGTCGCCGGTTGGGAAAGTTGGAGAGGGCGGAGGAGAGAGGGGAGTTGGCGGGCAAGGTGAGGGACGGCTATGGTTGGGTTAGTAAGGGAGGGAGAGGGATTGAATTTGAATTTCAAAATTATCCAAAAGGAGCAATAAGGGGTCGGCCGTTTAATGGGGTATTAGTGGGGAATTAATGGTGATTGGAATTTAAATTGGAGAGAATAAATGCTTAGTAAGGGGCCGGCCATATAGGGAGGAGATGGGGGTTTCATTTTAAGTGTGTGCCCCCCCCCCCAATAGTAAAACAAATATGCGGCAAAATGAAAGTATTTGAATTCAAATATTTAATTGAATTCTCAACAAAAAACTTTCCTAATTGACTAGGATCTAATTTAGGAAAGTAAATGAAGGCAATTGGATTTGAATTTCATAATTTTGGGACAAGGTGGCAAGTGGGTTAGGTGGGAGAGGGGTGGTGGGGTGGGGCCGGCTGCCGGGTTGATGAAGTGGCCGGCGGCTTGTTAGGTGGAGGGGTAATGGGGGATCAAGGGGAGGGGATGAGGTCGTCGGTTTGGAGAGATAGAGAGAGAATTGCCGGCGGTATAGGGGAAGAGGAAGATGAAGACTAAGATAAAAGAATCAAGAACTCACAAAGAGATCGTAGAACCACAAACCTTGGAATCCTCCAAAGGATGACGGGTATTGCTTTCACCCACCTAGAGTTTCTTCTCAAGAACTCACTGAGAGATCAAAGAAAGCTGAAATTTTCTTTATAATTCATCATTAGAAAATAATACAATGGCTATGCCTTCATATATAAACCTCAAAAAGCACAAAATGTAAAAGCCACAAATGCCCTTAGGCTACAACATGACACAAATCCCTCATAGGGGTACAAGTGGAAAACTGAAAAAATAATTAAAAGAAATGCACTAAAACATCGTAAGAAACTATGAATCGTAGCCAAGGGGGGAATGCCCTTTCGCGAGGTGGGTCAGAATCTAAGCTCGTTAATGGTTTGGATGTCTTGTTGTTTTCTTTTCTCTTTCTCGTCTAGAATCATTCTTTTTTATCTTCGTATATCATAAGATCTGATTTTCTCTCTGGGAAAAGCAAGTGCTTCTAATGGTAGCCAAGATCACAGAGTAGATCTCGCAAAAAGGTGCCTATGAATAGGCGGGTTGAAGCAACTTGCTACTTCTATCGCATTCAAGTTAGGCTTTTCTTTTTGAATAGGGTTTAGGGGTGCAAGTGAAAAACTGAAAAAATAATTAAAAGAAATGCACTAAAACATCATAAGGAAACTATGAATCGTAGCCGTCGATCTACGATTCCGCCGATGGTAAGTATGTCGAAATCTCCGGTGGATGTCCTCATCAAAATAACTAGACAAACAGTTCTTCATTATCTTTTTAACGACTAACCAAGTTCGAATGAAATGGATTTCTTGTTTCCTTAAAGACAACAAAAATCAAAATACTCATCAGTAGTAGCACATAAATATAAGAAGACGACGACAACAACAACAAGCCTTTATCTCACTATGTGGGATCAGCTAGATGAGTCTTTTTTCTCCATTGTGCTCTATTAAGAGTCAAATTGTCATTTAAATCTAATAAAGAAAGGTCATTTCTAAAACTTTCTAACCAAGTCTTCTTAGGTCTACCTCTACCTTTCTTAACAAAAGTCAGATCTAATGCATCTACTCTCCTAACCGCATCATCGTAAGACAGTCGTTTTATGTGACCAAACCATCTAAGATGACTCTCTCTAATCTTATCTGCCACTAAAGCTAATCCAACATTTTCACGTATATGCTCATTTCGTATCCTGCCTCTAAGAGCAAAGCCACTCATCCACCTAAGCATCCTCATTTCTGCAACACTTAACTTAATATTATGTTTCTCTTTTAATGGTCAATATTCTGCGCCATAAAGCATTGCCGGTCTCACAACCATCATATAGAATTTTCCCTTAAGTAAAAGGGGTACTTTTCTATCACACAACAAGCCCAATGAATTCCTCCACTTAAACCATCCAAAATGAATTCTACTAATAATATCCTCATATACTTTACCATCACTCTGGACAATAGACCCAAGATATCCAAAACGTGCACTCTTTTTAATGACTTGATCGCCCAAAGTCACAATCCCTCCACTAGATCTATTACTACTAAAATTACACTCAATGTATTCGGTTTAGTGGTAGCATGTAAATATGACAGAGGGATAAAAATCCTGATGATAAGGTAACATCCATATCAAAATTTAAACAGTTAAACCATAGCAAATAAGCATGCATGCATTCTACTATAATGCATTAGTTCTTCATAAATGTGAGGGAGATTTCTGAAATATAATACAAGTAAATATCATCAATAGAAATCTTTCATGCTTTTTACTTCATTGCATGCTCTTCTTCCCCTGCTAAACATAAATTTTCCATGCTTCCCTTTTTTTCCATAGAAAAAAAATTATGCACAAGATTTGAATTTTTTGTTCAAGTAAAAATAAGATGGATATAACAAACATTTTAATAATCAAGATACTTTCTGAAAAAGAGATAGGATACAAAGGATTTAAGGATACCTAGAATTCTTATTCCTAAGGACAATGCTTAGTAGTATTATGGGGAAAGCATTTCTCATCACAAGTCTCAAATCTAATTTGGCAGCTTGGAACAAAACTTCTTTGGAACTTTGTGTTGCTTTTCTCTAATGCAAATCAGGCCATCCATCAAAAACACCCGAGAAACCAATAAGGAAAAGAAATAAGGACATGCAAGATGCTCTGTAAGTAACACAAGACTGAGCCATAGAATTACGAGACAAGATTGAACAAGAAGAAAAAAATTGAACCATTAACGCAGAGGTAAATTAATGTATAGATCAAACCCGATTTAAAACAAGCTAAAATGGTAGTAAAAAATGGATCCTTCAGAAGACATGGGAACAAGGCAATTTAAATAGAAGTAATCTGTATCGGTTTCATTGAGTTACCTGAATGAAACAGAACTGTGTTCCCACTTAAGAAGGCCAGACATTATAGAAATTTTTTCCTAATTATCCTACCTTTCCCTCATATTTTATCATTTAATATAATAGTAAGAGTTCAAATTTGCATAGCATAATGAAAAAATTGGCTAATAATTTCATGTTGCTATTGTGATGAATATATATATATATATATATATGATTTAGTTTCTTCTAGTATTTAAATAATCAAATAATTGATGAATGTCAAAATTATTTAAAATCAAAATAATCAAACATAAAAAACTAAAATAAAAGAGAAAGTTGGACAAATGAAAAACATAAAATTTACCTTATTTTACGAGTTGGCTTAGCCGTTCCTATAACATTAGCAAGTTCTGCCTCTAGTTCTTTTTTCTTCAAAAAAATAAGAAAAAGTTAATTTAACCAGAATATAAAAGTAGAAGTGAAATATCACATAATGAAAGATATAACTAATCGAATTACTAAATCAAATAATAATTGGCTTACCATAGTATCACGCATTTTCTCAAAAAGAATAGATTTCACTGGTTCTTTCCCAATCCAACGACATAACTCAACTGTCAAGCCCTTAGAAGATGCACGTACATTTTGATCTTGGTGATCAAATAGCTCGGGCAGCATTTTTAGAATCTTTTTTGGGGGAACAACTTTAGCACCAAACTCACTAAATATTTAAAACACGTTAAATATTACGTTAAAATAAGCCAAGTTAACAACTTGCACAAAAAAACAATATAAAGAAAAGTTTGACAAAATTAATAGACCTGAGAGCTTGAAACATGACATCAATAGCAGGCACAACTGCTTTTGATACTTTATTTTTTATTGCTTTCTCCATAGCTTCCTGAAAAAATAATCAAAAAATCAAAAGTTTAATAATATGCAAATTTTCACAAATATCTCATCAAATCAAATGAATGCTAACAAAAATGTCTAAAAGGATAACAAATCACTACTGCAACATATTAACATTTAGTGAACTTATGAAAGAACAAGGAATCTAAAAAAATAACTTTTACAAAAATGGATGTAAATGATGGCTATTGAGAAAAAAAACAAATCATAAATAAGTCCAAAACAAAAAAATGAAAGGAGCTATAATCATCATGCAAATGATTCTATTAGCCACTATTGAGGTCTGAAGCATTTAAAACACTCTTCGCAAATCATTTTAAACAATTTATATCCATGTTACCTTATGTCAATCCCTTCGCATTCCTAATCCTCAAGCATAATTTATCTACTCATCGAATTATGTATTTTCTATTTGCTTGTGCATGCCCTATGATGTGAAACAACATGCGATGAACAAGAACTGCTTGGGGATTTTAATATAAGATTGTTAAATTCCTAATCCTCCAGCATAATTTATCTACTCATCGAATTATGTATTTTCTATTTGCTTGTGCATGCCCTATGATGTGAAACAACATGCGATGAACAAGAACTGCTTGGGGATTTTAATATAAGATTGTTAAAGCTTTGCTAGTTATAAAATTAATGCTTCCCCAAAATAAGTTTTCGGAATTATCAAGTCGAAATTAAGTAAAGCATGCGGTTATAACTAGATTAACGGGACAATATCAAATTGACAACATAGAATTAGAGAGTAACGTTATGGGGAGAAACAATAATCCACAATTAACAAATAGAACTTTTCACCTTGGGTCTCTCACTCACTCTCTTGTTGGTGGCACTTTGAATGGAGGAAGATTGAGAGCAACCGAGCGATGCCACCAGGAGACAAATGGCGCACAAAGTGTAGTCCGGTGGAGTGGTAACCGGTGGCGGATAGCCCATGGGATGACTAGTGAGCATCCAACGTCTTATACGTTATTCCTTGATCATCAAAGACGAAGCCGTGGTCGATGTCGAATCGGTCGTCCATGGAGGTGGAGAACATTAAATTTCAGTTGGGAAGAGGGGGAGGTGTCGGCTAGGGTGAAGAGGGCGGTTGGGATGATTAGGTTTAGGATTAAAATCTGAATTAAATTTCAGATTTTATTCCAAAAGGAATTGATTCAAACCCAAAATTTGAACTAGGGAACTTAATTGCCAATTAGTGGTGCAATTAAATGGAGGAGAGAGGGGAGTGAGGTGGCCCGCCAAAGGAGAGCTGAGAGAGCATAATTAGATTTAATTATGTGGACCCTCTAAGAGAAACTCACGGAATAATAAAATCTGAGAATTGATTCTCCAACTTTGCTCTACTAGAAAGTTCCTAAATGGTATCAAACCATTGGGTCCGTTGGAAAATTCCACGGGCTTGGCCAACAGCAACTCTGATATTTGATTTTCCAGCTTACAAATCTGAATTTTTATTTCAAATTCTAAATATGAGCTCTATCTTAAATTTCAATTTCAGTTTTGAAATTTGAAATTAGAGAAAGAGAGGGAGGGAATTAAGGAGGCATTTAAGTAGTGATTAAGGGGGGATTGGAGAGAGAAAAAAAGGAAAGGAGGGTGGCCAGCCCCAAGAAGAGCTGAGGGATTATTAAATTAAAGGCGTGGGCCCATCAGAGAAACTCACGGAAATCAAATCTGAATTTGGAATCTCAGATTTGCTCTCAAGGATGATTTCCTTAATAGCCTGAGCCTCAGCCATTGAAACTTCCGTCAAATGAAAAGAAACATATAGCAGGCTAAGAATTTCCTAATTGAAGGGGAGAATAGGATAGGAAAGAAAATAACAGCTTGGCATGGGATTTCAAAGTTTGAAACGGTTTGCTGGTGGGCTTCAAGTGGGGCGACTAATGGGAGTGGTTGGGAGGGATGGCCGGCGGCTTAGGGTGTGGGGGAGGGCCGCCGGGCTGGCGCAGCCAGGGAGCCGGCGGTGAGACTTGGGTGGCAGTGGGGTATTGAGAAAAAGAAGGGGATTTCGGCTTAATAAAAAAAGATGGGGAGAAAACAAGAAATTATCAAATAAGAAACCTGAACCTAAACCATCCCCGGTAGAACTCACAAAGAGATCTCCGACGGTCTCACTCTTCAAGACTCAGCAAAGAGATCTTTAGAGGTTTCATGAACTCACAAAGAGAACAAAGAGCAAATTTTCATTTCATCAAACTACTATTACATAAGAAAAGGGCCATATTATAGGCCTCCAAATGATAAAAAAACAAAAGAATAAAATGCCCCTTGGGCTACAAATAGCGACCAAATACCATTAAGGGCAAACGAAAAAAAAACTGAAATAAATAAAAGCTACTACATAAAATGTCTCAAAATAAAACTCATGATCGTGGCCGTCGATCTCCGGCACTCCTGATGGCACACGTGTCGAAAATGCTGACGATGTCCTCATCACCTACTAATGATAGTTTTTTCAATAACCATATTATAATGCACCAATTTCCGCCATTAGATACATAAGTTTAGAATGGATTCCTTCAAAATATGTTATAATTTTTTTCTAACTTAATGTCTCATTAGTCTTTATCCTAGCTTCATAGAAAGACACATAAGTTTATTCTAAATAATTTAGTATAATTGAAACACCTCATTTATACTTAAATATTAAAACCAATTTTTTTATGGTCAATTGACATATTACAGGGGATGTTATGTAAAATGTGTTATTGGTGTTAACTAAAAAATTTATATGGATTTTATTTTTTTAAGAGTTTGTTATGTCAAATATGCTATACTTGTGCTCAAACAAAAGGTAAATAATTCTTATATTCAAATCATTAAAGATATGTATGCAGGAACTATTACTTGTGCTCAAACACAAGGTGGTTTGACCAAGTATTTTCCTATTTCGATTGGATTACATCAAGGATCAGCCTTAAGTCCATATATTTTTGCTTTAGTCATGGATGTTCTCACAAGACATTTGCAAGAGGATGTACCTTGGTGTATTCATTTTGTTGATGATATTCTTCTTACCGGTAAGACTAGAGAGGGAGTTGAAGGTAAAATTGAATTATGGAGGTCAACCTTAGAGTCTAAAGGTTTTCACTTGAGTAGATCTAAAATTGAATATATGGAGTGTAATTTTAGTAGCAATAGACCTAGTGAGTGGATTGTGACTTTGGGCGATCAAGTCATTAATAAGAGTAAACGTTTTAGATATCTTGGATCTCTTGTTCAGAGTAATGGCGAAATAGATGGGAATATTATCAGCATAATTCAAGTTGGATGGTTGAAGCGGGGGAATACTTCGGGCTTGTTGTGCAATAGAAAAGTCCCCCTCAAACTTAAGGGAAAATTCTATAAGTTAGTGGTGAGACATGCAATGCTTTATGGTGTCAAATGTTGGCCATTAAAAGAGAAGCATAATACTAAGTTAAGTGTTCCAGAGATGAGGATGCTTAGGTGGATGAGTGGCTTTACCCTTAAAGATAGGATACGAAATGAGCATATACGTGAAAATGTTGGAGTAGCTCCATGGAAGATAAGATTAGAGAGAGCCGCCTTAGATGGTTTGGCCACATTAATCGGAGGCCTTCGGATGACCCTGTTAGGAAAGTTGAGGTATTAGATTTGACTAATGTTAAGAAAGGTAAAGGTAGACCTAAAAAGACTTGGTTAGAAAATATTAGAAATTATCTTTCTTTATTAGATTTATTTGAGAATTTGACTTTTAACAGGACACAATGGTGAAAAAGGATTCATGTAGCCGACCTCGCCTAGTGGGACAAAGGCTTGATGTTGTTGAAGAGTTTGTTGTAATCAAAATAAGCATAAAATAAAATATTGGGCTATTTGGAACACCTTAGAACTCTCAATTTCCTTGATTTTCAAACTCGTCCAAATCAATATTGCTCCTTCACTATAGTGCACATTCGCTAGCCTCTCCATTTGCTTCTTATCGCCAACGACAAGGCTTTACTGCGACCCCTTTACTTACTCTCATCGACAACTCAACTCAAACGACACAAATATTGTTATAATGCAGCTAGATCTCCCTGGCACGAGGTTATGTCACTACTTGACCTTGCCATCACCAAACCTTGTCACTTACACCTACACCACACCAAATAGTTAGAACAACATGGCCTCATACCAAAGACACTTGAACTTTCTAACAACTTCCCCTCTTCATCTTCAAAACCAATAATATGCATGCCTCTCCAAATATTCTTTTTTATTATTATTATTTGTTCACTATGTTAATTTTATTTTGCTCTATTATCTTTTATTATTTCTTAGTAAATATCAAGTATTGATTATAATACTACTTTTTTATCATATCATTTTATACTTTGTAAGACAATTAGTGTTCAATAATTATGAAGTTTATATTACTTTTAAGGCTATGAAAATGAAACTTACCAATGTATCTCACTAAATACTAAATTATAAAATTTAGAACTAAAAAAAGAGATAATTTTTATGCATTTATTTTATGGCCAAGCAAAAATTCGACATTCTTAAAATACATATATTCTAAAATACATGCAACCAAACAACCATCTAGACTTTCGTTAAAAATTAAGTACATGCAATTAATCTATTTTTATCATATTTTTGGTTGACTATAAAATTTGAAATCTTCCTCATTAAAATAACATGGTACAATTTCATCTTTTAATTATTTGGTTGTCTCTTTACTCTATTATGGATATTCTTTTGAATTAAACTTAAGGGTACTTCACTGGTTCTTGAATTTATATTCTTGTTCCGTCTACAAATTTTAAATTTAATTCCTCTTTAAACCTCCTATCAATTTTTTCTTCACCTATAGCTTAAAGAATCAGCAGAGTTCACAAAACCAGATGCACTGATCAAGAATCACCCACATCTCTTAGTAAAGCAATAAAATCGAAAGAAAATATAGTTGTAGGGGATCAAGGAAAGTAGGAAACAGAGTAAATAAAATCTAGTCAAATTTCTTAAGCA